GGTGTGTGATCTTGATGGTATCCGACCCGTCTTCTCGTTCCAGAGCCCGATACAGGTTTAATATAATATTTAAGTCGTATCTGTGAAATTTGGTATGAATCAGAGTTGATTTGACGTGATTCGGACGTCCGGTTGTGAAAATAGTAAATTTGAAGTGTTCTTGAGGAAAATCATGAGTTTGAGGTTAAATTCGTAGTTGTTGATGTTATTTTGATGATTTGATCGCACGAGTAAGTCTGTATGGTATTATTAAACTTGCATGCATGTTTGGTTTGGAGCCTTGTGGGCTCGGGTGAGTTTTGGATAGGCCACGGAGTGATTAGAACTTACGAAAACTCAGCTATACATCTGGTGTTTTGCACAGGCCTCTGATCTCGCAAATGCGAGACCAGGCTTCGCAAATACGAGGTCTACCGGCCTGGGAAATGCGACAATATTATCGCAAATACGAAGAAGGCCTGGGAGGTCCAACCTCGCAAATGCAAAACTTTAGCCGGAATTGCGAAGGCCCCAGAGGTCGCAAATACGAAGGCAACAGTAATTCAAAGGGTTCGCAATGGCGAACCCCTAGTCGCAATTGCGATAATTGTAACTTGTTAAGTGAGATTTTAGATGGGATTTTCCCTTTATTCTTCAAAATTTCAAAACCTAAACTCCTAAGGGTGATTTTTCTAGAGCAAGTTCTTCCTCAAATCATAGGTAAATGAATCTTAACTCTTTTCTCTCCAATCTATTTCATCTTTTTACATGATTTCATTTCAAAATCTAAGGTTTTTCATGGGAAATTGGGTGTTCTTGGGTAGAAATTAGGATTTTTAAATTTTGGGGATTTGAACCTCAATTTGAGGTCGGATTTCAAAACCAATTGCATATTTGAGTTTGTGGGTGAATGGGTAATCGGATTTTGGTTCGAACTTCGAGTTTTGGCTAAGCGGGCCCGGGGTCGGTTTTTGACTTTTTGGGGAAAACATTGGAAAATCTATATTCATGCATTAGAATTGGTTTATTTAGCATTTATTGATGTTATTAAGTAAATTATGACTAGATACAAGCGGATTGGAAGAGGGACCGAGAGGTAAAGCGGTAATTGAGGCTTGATTTTGTCCGTGGAATTGAGGTAAGTGTTTGGTCTAACCTTAGCTTGAGGGAATAGGTGTTGTGGTCTTATTTGCTACGTGTTAGTGTTGAGTACGACGTATAGGTGTGGTGACGAGTATCTATACGTTGGTGTCAAGCATGCAAGTGAGTCCTAAAATTGTGACCGTTGAGATTCTTATAATGTACTATTCATGCTTAAGTTGATGTTTATCCATGTTGAACAAGAATTAGATATCTTCATGGTAATTGACCATTGTTGAGTATTGGATCAAGTTGAGACTTATTTGTGAATTTAAGTATTGAACCGAGTTTGGTTATAGATGATTCCCTTGCCGGGATGTTATTGTTTCTATTGTTGATTCCCTTGCCAGGATGTTATTGTTTCTATTGTTTGGGTGAGGAAGAGTATAAAGCACGAAGGGTGATATCGTGCCCGATATTGTGAGAGAATGTTACTGCACGAAGGGTGATACCGTGCCGATATTGTAAGTGTTAATGCACGAAGGGTGATGTTGTGCCATGATTTGAGAGTTAATGCACGAAGGGTGGTGCCGTGCCATGGTTATGAGAGAGTAAAAGCACCAAGGGTAATGCCGTGCCATTTATGATGATTTCTATGGTGAGGGCGAGAATAAAAGTACGAAGGGTGATGACGTGCACGTGTTATTGTTTCATTATTCCTGTTGATACAAATATGGTGTTCATTATGCTTCTCTATTGAATTACTGTTAGAAATTGATATTCCTCGCAACATGTTCCCATTCCCATCTTTATCTGTTATTTCCTGTTATTATTGTTCTGTTCGTATATGATTTAACTGCACAAGTTTATATGGTTGTCCTGTACTAGCCTCATTACTACTTCGCCGAAATTAGGCTCGACACTTACCAGTACATGGGGTCGGTTGTACAGATACTGCACTTTGTACTTTTTGTGCAGATCTCGGTGTCGTACCTTGTGAGTAGATTCGAGGTTGCTGCCTTCCATCCAGGGAGACCAAGGTAGATCTGCTGGCGTTTGCAGGTCTGAAATCCCCCTTTCCCCGTTTTAGTTTCTTCTGTCTCTTCTATTTCGAGAACAATTGTACTTCTTTCAGACTTGTATTTGTAGTAAATCTTAGTCGTTCATGGATTGTGACACCAGATCTTTGGGGTAGCTGTGTATTAGAATTGTTGGATTGCTATATCATTTCCGCATTTCTTAATTATCTCGTTTAAACTAATATATGTTCCTGTTTGAAAATAATTATGGTAGTAAAACTGTAACTGTTTGCTTGCCTAGCTTTCACGAGTAGGTGCCATCACGATTTCCGAAGGTGGAAAAATTCGGATCGTGACACCGAATTAATATTTTAGTCACTCATTATTTAATTAAGTAAAAATGTTTTTGCCTTTTAATTTCAGAAAACGTTTTTAACATCTTTGTTTTAAATTCAAAAGAAGGTGACAATTGGTTTTAAAAGATGCCTGTTATAAAGAGAGATGAATCTGTTAATTCCAACAGACTCCTAGAGGTATTATAAATACCTATATCATCTCCAAAACAAAATCATCTGAAACTTTTATCTCTTTCTCTTCTACTTATTTTCTACAACTCGCAACTATTCTGTTCTTGTGGGAAATTTGAGTTAATTGCTGAAACTCGGATTTCAGAGACTGGAGAAATTCTGCCATAATTCCTGTAGCAACAAAATTGAAAGGCTTAAATTTCTTAAGGACCGTGACTACACTATCAAGATCTAATTATTTCATCCTGTATTCTGCTAATTTTTTAACATATTTATATTCAGTTGTCTCCTTTTTTTAAGCAAGTTCGTGCCCAAACTAACACACTGTTATATTTGAGGAGTACCAGTCAAATATGAGAAATGACTCACTTGACTTGGCATGGACAAAGGAAAGTCACATAAGAGACGTTAGGAATAAACAAAAGATAGATTGTGTTTTTAATAATCATTGAATGTCCTCGACATACACAATTTAAAGATAAAAATTGCACGGGGTGCCTATTTGGTCGCCATCATTTAATCTATATTTTTTTTAAACTTGTAATTTGTACCCACATTTTAAAAAATTTCAGTCCCTTTTCTCCTCCTCCTTCTTCCCGTGATCTCCATATCTCTCTGAAACTTAACATTGATGTAACAATATCTCTCCTTCTGTGGCTTCACTCAATTCCTCAGAAGTCATCTTACTATACATAATTAAAATAATTATAATTATAACATAAGAAAACCTTTTTGTGAAATGAATATTTTATAGACCGAGGCGATTCGAAATCTTTATTTTCAATCTGCTTCTTCAATGTTTGTCAAAAGAAAAGTCAATTGTGTTACTAGAATCCCAATTTAAAGTGTTGTAGCTCAAAAGAATCTAATCTTCTTGACATTTATGGAGCTATAATATCCCCAACAGCTAAAATAGTACTACTTAATACTATTTAAAGTCATCAGATCTCAAACTCTCGCATGCAGAAAGAAGATGTGGATGAAGGGTAGTTAATCAATGATTTTTCTGCAGTACTGGTCATGTATATATCCCTGCATAAGGTATGGGTTCCTCCCTAAAAATAGAAACTTCAGCAGTACATGCTCAAGGGTTTTAAAAACTTCAGTTGAAGTTCGCTAGTTACAAACAAAAACTTCAGCTCTAGCTGAAGTTCGCCAGTTAAACTCTGGTGATCGGTGTAGATCTCTCAAGGAACACCATACAAATAGTGCCGCCAAATCTTCAAGGCATGATCAATAGCTACTAACTCAAGGTCGTGGACATGATAGTTATTCTCTTGCACCTTTATCTGCCTAAATGCGTAGGCAATCACCCTACCGTCCTGCATCAACACCGCATCGAGACCAATCTACGACGTATCACAATATACAGTATAAGACCCCGAACTTGTAGGCAATACCAATACTGGGGCCATAGTCAAAGCTGTCTTGAGCTTTTGAAAGCTCTTTGTTTCCTCAAGCAAAGGTCTAAGTTTCCAAGCCCTAGTTTCCCCAATTTTCACCCTTAATTTCCGTAATTTCTAGCCCTAATCCATGAAATAATGACATAGGAACGAGTTTTAAGTCCAAATTCCTTACCTCAATGAAGTTCCCTTGAAATCTCTCTTTCAAATCGTCCAAAAATCTCCAAAGCCGATATAAAAATGGTGAAATTAGCTAAAATTCGCGAATGCCACAATTTATACCTTCTGCCCAGACATTTTCGCATCTGCGGCCCCTTTACCCGCTTCTGCGGTACCACATTTGCGGTCATTCGTCCGCTTCTGCAGAAATCACATAACCGGCCAAAACTCGCATCTGCGATCAACCTTCCGCACCTGCGGTCCCTGCCTTCCCTAGGCATTTTCGCTTCTGCGACCTCCCTTATCGCACCTGCGGTCCCCAATCCGCAGGTGCAGAAATACCAGAAGCAGCAAATTCAGCAGCTGCAACAAAGTTTCAAACTTCCTGTCAACCATCCGAAATCATCCCGAGGCCTACAAACAAAAACAGAGCTGAATTTCAGGTCCGACTACTAGAATGCTGAAGTTTTGCGTGATTGCGTTTGCTACTTTAGCCCCGTATGCTGAAGTTATACGAAAAAGCGCGTAAACTTGCAATTTTTTTTTGCAAAGCAGACATAAGTTAAAACGTGCTACGGAAGGCGGGTATAGAAGCAAATGTACATTTCTAATCAACTCACCGTTAATATTTTGCGAAAAACTTTATTCTTCAATGTTTACATTAGTATATTTCCAATATCAATCCACATAAATTAAACTTATCTAATTACGAGACAAATTATTTTTTATGCAAAGTGAATGTTGAGTTTTTGAGGTCACAACATTGCCAATTTAGAAACAAACTTACAGTCAACCCGCTGTCAAATAAAAATTCCGAGTAGCCACTTCGGTATATAGGAACCCGCTCACCCATCTGACATAGTTTGACACAGTACTCGCCTCTTATCACTAAGGCAAAAAAACCAGTTCATCTTCTTCCCCCTATATGCCATAGGAATTAGTACTAATTAGCTTCAACCATGCTCTCTCTGACGAATTCAATTCCAATTTCTTCACATTTGAGCGACACTCGTTTTAACTTTCTTTCTCCAAGCGGCAGCAGAAATCTTCGCCGAGTTACACTTGTTTGCAGCCGTCTTTCGTTCCCGCAGAGGAACATATGTAGGTGCTCAACCACCGAGCAACCGCCACCACAACGGCGCAAACAACGGCCGGCAAAGCAGTCCGACGAGGAGAAAGGCATCGATCCTGTTGGGTTCCTCACCAAATACGGCATTACCCATAAAGCTTTCGCTCAGTTTCTTCGTGAAAGGTGGTTTTGCAATGCCTTAAATTTTACTCCCTCTGTTACAATTTACGTGACTTAGTTTGACTCGACACAAAGTTTTAAAAAAAAATACTTTTGAAATTTGTGGTATAAAAGCCCAAGGAGTTAAAGGGACTAAAAAAGTAAAGTACCTCGTCTAATTTGAACGCAGGAAGTACTTTGTATCTGTTCCAATTTATATGACACAATTTCGTTATTAGTGGTACAAAAAATAATTACCCATTTAACTTTGAGCTTTTAATTTTATCTATTACTCCCTCCGGTCCACAATAAGTGACCAATTTGCTTTTGACATGCCCATTAAGAAAATACTAAACACTAATAGGGATATGTACATAAGTATAATCTTGTAAAAACAAATTGAATTCTTTCTTGATTATATAAATGGACACTTATTTTGGACCAAAATAAAAAAGCAAATTGGTCACTTATTGTGGACTGGAGGGAGTAAGTTCTTACAAATACACAAATGTTGTTGCATATTTCAGATTACAAGTTTCAAAATTCTTATAACATTATACTCTCTCCATTCCCGTCCAGTTTTTAATGAGCCTCACAAATGTTTTAGAATGTTTAAAACCACAAGTTTCAAAAATCGTATAACCACTCACAAATTGTATGACATGTTTATGATCACAAATTCCAAAGGTCATTCAGTTTTTCTTATACTCTGTTCCTATTCAAACTTTGACACATAAGTTGGAACGGCGGGAGTAGCATGTTTAAAACCACTGGTTTCAAAAATCTTCTTTTTTTCTTCCTAAACTCTGCGTCTAGTCAAACTACGTCAAATTGGAGGAGGGAGTATTTCAATGATCTTTTAGACATGCTAGAAGCTCCTTACCCAAAATAGTAACGAGCAGCCACTTTTTAGTCTACTTTGACTGTTCCCGCTTCTACTTGATGCTTGAACCATTTTATATGTGCAATAATCTTTCAGGGTGTTTTATTCTTTTACTCATTCTGCTTTGCAGATATAAATCATTGAAGGACTTGAAGGATGAAATATTGACTCGTCACTTCAGTCTCAAGGAGATGTCTACTGGGTTAGTTTTATGCACCAATTTCGTACATTGACAATAATTCTACCTTCTGCCTATTTGCTAAAGTTATCAAAGAATGCGTCTTGCATTTGCACATTTAACTCTTTACTGATTCTAGATGTCTATTTCATAGATATGAATTACTGGGTATGCATCGCAACGTGCAGCATCGAGTGGATTTCTTGGAGTGGGCTCCAGGTTCAATTCCATACGAGAATTTGTCATCTTAACGTGTTTTATAGATCAGCATATGTCATCTTAATGTGTAGTTTTGTATGTCTTAATTCATGCTACGTTGTGCAATTAATCTGGTGCTTATTTTTAGTTACATTGGCCACTCTGCAAGTACTAAGTACATAAACAATGTTTCAAAACTTCATCCATCCACTACATGATATCTTGAAAATTGCTCACTATTTGGTATCTTCTAATTTTCATTATGGACTTAGAGTTCTCGGTCCATCAATTAGTGATTCATGGTTAGACTATGGTGTGATATCACTGGAGAGAAGACCAGATGTGAGATTTCCCATGTAAAGTATGTAAGTAACATTTATGCATTAACTTAAATAATTCATCAATGTTATATTCCAGCTCTGGGGTTATAGATGCAGGGGAGTGGATTTAGCTCTTGATAATGAAGAACTGTTTGTTTGTTTTTTTCGTTGTTTCTTTGTTATTTTTTTTTCTTTTATGGTTTTTGACATATAAGTGCCAAGATGTTTAACAGGTGCTCGCTACTGTGCTCTAGTTGGTGACTTTAATGGGTGGTCAACAACTGATAATTGTGCCAGAGAGGGTCATTTTGGTCATGATGATTGTGGGTATTGGTTTATTATTCTTGAAGATAAATTGCGTCAAGGAGAAGAACCTGATAAATTGTATTTTCAACAGTACAATTATGTGGATGACTATGATAAAGGTGACACTGGCAATACCATCGAAGAAATCTTTAAAAAAGCAAATGATGAGTATTGGGAACCCGGAGAAGATCGCTTCATTAAGTCACGTTATGAGGTGGCGGCAAAGTTATACGAGGAAATGTTTGGCCCAAATGGACCCCAAACGGAAGAGGAACTAGAAGAAATGCCTGATGCAGTGACACGGTACAAAGTCTGGAAAGAGCAACACAAAAATGACTCAGCAAGCAATTTGCCATCGTATGATGTGATGGATAACGGAAAAGAATATGACATTTTCAATATTATAGGTGATCCCGAATCGTTTCAGAAATTTCGTATGAAGCAGCCTCCTATTGCTTACTGGTTGGAAACTAAAAAGGGAAGGAAAGCTTGGTTCCAGAAATATATGCCTGGTTTACCTCATGGAAGCAAATACAGGGTGTATTTTAACACACCAAATGGGCCTCTTGAACGAGTTCCCGCATGGGCTACTTATGTCATTCCAGGTAAATAAGCACTGCTTGTTGGTATTTACATACTTTTTTTTATCTCCATAACTGGTTATATGCAATTAGCTGCTATTATAAGAAAAAGGACAGAAGCATGTAGAATATTGAACATTTTTCTTTTGATGTATTCTGCTTCTCTGCCTAAATGATATCTCAGTTACACACATAAATCCATGAGTACATGCTTTAGATTTTATATTCCCGAGCAACACATGTTTATTTGTAGATATGACAAGTAACATATATAAGATATGACAAGTAACAATATATATATACATCACTGAGCATCTACTAATCCAGCAAGTATCAACTACCTAGCTACCTCCCACTAGTATAGGTATTAGCACCATGGCTTAAAATGATGGGAAGAAATTACCTATAGTTTTTGCCTCAGTTGGAATTTGAACCTTGGTATCTTATGGTTCATTCCGGTTTCATTAACAACTAAGCCACACCCTCAGATACGACAATTTATAAAATTAGTAGCCTTGGTTCTCTCCTTACAAACTTTTCACTCTATGCTTCTATCTGTTGGGACGCGGAGAGGTAGATGACGACCTAAGAAGTATTGGGGAGAGGTGATCAGACAGGACATGTCGCGACTTAGGATTACTGAGGATATGGCCCTTGACAGGGAATTATGGAGGTCGAGTATTAAGGTTGTAGGTTAGGGGAGAGTTGTGAATATTTCTACAGCACAATAGAGTGAGACTAGCCAGTTAGGAGTTAGACTAAGAAGGTCATTGGTCGTCTATTGATGCAGGGCTTTACCTGCTAGTTTTACTATACCAGCCATCTTTTTCGTATTTCGTATTCTGTATTTCATATCTATTGTATCGCTGTTATTTTATTATGCATTTTTATGGTACTAATATGTCGGCTTCTGTTGTTTTTTGAGCCGAGGGTCTCCTGGAAACAGCCTCTCTACCCTTCGGGGTAGGGGTAAGGTCTGCGTACATATTACCCTCCCCAGACCCCACGTGTGGGATTATACTGGGTTGTTGTTGTTGTTGTTGTTGTTGCTTCTATCTGTTGGTACATATGTTGCTCGGATCCTCCAAATATGTTGCCGCATCCGTGTCGGATCCTTCAAAAATGCAAAATATATCTCGGCACCCGAACATTTAATTACAACAACAACAACATACCCAGTGTGATCCCACAAGTGGAGTTGGGGAAGGCGAGGTGTACACAGACCTTATCCCTATCTTGTGTGAGGTGAATAAATTATTTCCAATAGACCCTCGACTCAAGAAAAGCATTTTCAAGCTAAGTTTGAAAAATACAAGAGTAAAAAAAGCTAAGATGAAAATACTGAAAAAAAGAAAAGTATTGACAACAAAAATAGTAAAGATAACTTAAGCAAATGAAGCAACAGCAATATAAAATCAAAAAATAAGATAATAATAGAATAATAATAATAATAATAATAATAATAATAATAATAATAATAATAATAATAATAATAATACTCATAAGGAGAAGAGGGAGCAGATAAAGTGCTCTAAACTAGAACCATGCTCTCCCACAAAAAGGAGAGAAATCGCTCGACTTCCTACTAACTTTTTACCTAGCCCTCGATCTACTATCTAGGGTCATGTCCTCGGTGAGCAAAGATGTGGCATGTCCTGTCTAATCACCTCTTCCCAATTCTTCCTCGGTCTACCTCACCGCTCCTTTGACCTATCACTCTAACCTCCTCACTGAGGCTTTTGTGCTCTTCCTCTTCACATGCCCGAACCATCTTAGCCTCGCCTCCTGCATCTTGTCCACCACGGAGGCCACTCCTGCCTTGCCCCGTTTATCTGAGCATCCTCATTTCCGCTACTATCTTCTGAACGTGTTAGTTCTTTACTGGTCAGCACTTTGCCCCATGCAACATAATTGGTCTAACAACCAATCTATAGAACTTACCTTTTAAGTTTTGATGGCGCACTCTTATCACATAGGACACCTGATGCGAGCCTCCATTTGTGATGGGCATTTTGAGTAGGTGATTCTAATAGAATCTCCATGCCCGCTGTAAAAGAGATGCAGGAAAATAATCATATCAATTATGTTGATTTCATTTTGTATTTTGTTTGCTACCCTGAGCCAACAATGCCTTCTTTGTTTTCTAGGATTTGTATTGATGTTGCTGAACTTCCTTTGCTCATTCGCAGATGCCGAGGGGAAGCAAGCATTGGCAGTTCATTGGGAACCACCTCCGGAAAGTGCTTACAAGTGGAAACACAAGCATCCTCTCAAGCCTAAGTCATTGCGCATATATGAATGTCACGTCGGTATCTGCAGCCAGGAACCAAAAGTTTCTTCTTTCAGTGATTTTATTAGCAAGGTGACTGTGTTNTCCTTCCTTTTTATTTTTCTGACTAATATAATTTGTATGATTTGTGATTGAGGCATAGTTTATTGATTGACTGGTTGGTCTATCATCTATGCTTACTTTCTGTTGGGTTCATTTAGTCGCTATTCCTTCTGCTCAGAATGGCATAGCTTAGTGCATTTCATTTGGTTTCTTGCACGTTTTTACCAAACCTATTAACTTTCCCTAGAGTTCTATTAGTACCATCGTGTTGCTTTCAACTCTTCTTTAGCAGTCACAGAATTTCCTGGCTATTATACTCTTTTGGAAGGAACTTTGTAAGTGAATTGGGCATAAATTATGGTATCTTTAGTTGAATTTTTCAATAATTTTCTCCTTTTTAACTGCCTTTCTGACTTATTTTATATATATATATCCCCCATGCAGCTCTTTTAACTTCTATTGCTATCTATTTCGCCAATGGAGTAGATTTTAACTGCTTGTGTTTGCTTCTTTCTCAAGTTCAGTATTTTGGACCATCTTTAGAAGAGTACAATGTAGGATGATGAACATCTAACTTATCTTTTGCTATCATAATGGTGAATGCCTCTGTTTCAGGTTTAAAATCATTGACAAATAAAACCTTATGACGTTTTATAGTGCCGGGTCTATTTACTGGTTATTGTATTGTTTTCATCTATTTTTTGGCTTTTATGTTGCTGTTATTATTCCTTTGGTTTCTGTTGATGGTACTGATATATTGTCTCTTCTCGTTTTCTTTAGCCGAGGGTCTTTCGGAAACAGCCTTTCTACTCCCTCGGGGTAGGGGTAAGGTCTGCGTACACACTACCCTCCCCAGACCCCACTAGTGGGATTTCACTGGGTCGTCGTCGTCGTCGTTGTTGTTGTTGTATACTCTTTTTGGATTGTATAATGCAATTCTAACTGAGGAGCCCTGTTTTCCATCTTTTCTCCAGCACTCTTCATGCTCATAACAGCCAGAGGCCACTAAACTACATAAACACCTTTTCCCCTCGTATTTGCCATCCCTTCAGTGACATTTTATTAGTTTTAAGCTGCAGAACTTGCTTAAGATCTGTCTTGACTTCTTAGAAAAAGGATTTTTTTTAGCTTGACGTCTGGAGGTATATTTGGTTGGTTGGTAATGTCAAATGACATTTTGTTTCTGCATCTTTTGGCGTATATGCCATCCAACATTTCGAATGAGATCCTTTGAACGTAGCACTTATGGTCCTATTTGTTGAATGTTAAGTGAATACGTGTCTAGATTCATTGAACTTGAGTATGATATTATAAAATATTCTGTTTGTATGAAAGGCTATCACGCATTTGGTTATATAACATTTACTTACCTTATTAGACATATAAGATGATTATTTACTATATTGTACTAAGACTCTTCTTGTATGTTGTTAATAGTTCAAGTCAACAGGAAGTTTTCTGTTTTTACATATTACCTGAGCAGGCAGAGATCCTTGTTTCAATCTCAACGCGCCTATTATCAAAAAAAAAACTTTCAGTGCTTGACCCGTGAAAAAGAACAACACTGCACATTAGGGGAAGGTATAAAGACATAATTAAAAAAATAAAGGTCCTCCCCCCTCTAATAGTTTGTGATTTTAGATGAGGTTGTCACGTAATATAACATGGTATAAAGAGCCTCTACGATCTTGGTAGAGTCTCAAGTAGCTTTTGCCTAAGACCACTCGCCAGCCAATATTATTTTTCAAACTCTTTTGTCTCTGATGATGCCACTCCTCTTTCTGTCACTGGCGCCTTGTCTCTCTTTATGCAATCGAAGCCCTCCTCTATAAAGTGATCAATGCCCTCCTCTACTTTTTCCCGTGGTTGATTCCTTTTTGTTTGTATGCTAGAAGCACTTCCTTTCACTGTGCTATTCCCTTCGGCTTTTCAGAAGAAGAATCCAAGCACCACTTCTGTATTTGATTGTGCTCTATTCCTGTCGGTTTTAGCGACAACTTTCTGTGTTCCCAAAGTAAACGAATTTAAGTTGATTTTCTCACCTTTTATTTTGAGAGGCAAGTTTAATATAAAGAGAAAATGTGTCTAGAACTCTAGATTAATTGAACTTGAGCAAGGAAAATATTATGGAATGTATTCTCTAGGATAAATCCTATTAGGTTTATCTATTTAGCTATAAAATACTTACTTACCATCTAGGTGTAGAGAGTGGTTACCCATTTCTTGTAAAAGTCTTGGTATTTTTCTGGGATAAGTGTTGGCTTCTTACTAAACAACTTTTTTGAAATAGAGCTTAGAAGGGTTAAATTAAGAGGACATATTTGTGGTAGGTACCTTTCTTCACGTACATGTAATTACAAAGAAAAATTGTACCAAGGTTAAGTGGAGGTGTACTTACATTATTATATTGGCTCATAGGTTAGTCAAACCTCATACAGGGACTGATCTTTAAGATTTGACTTTATTTAACAACCTTTTAAAATTTTATCACATTGGATTATCAAAGACAAGTTCTCTTATTAAGATTTTTCCCTTCCCTAGTTCAAAGTAGCGATGTAGTTGTCCACTCTCGTTTTCCAAAAATAATTTTTTTATGGAACTTAAATTGGTTAAAAATCTCGGTTCAAATATTGCCCTATCCAGCTTATGCCTCTCCTTGCTTTTAGCTTGTGTGTGACTGTGTGCTGATAATGATTATATATGATGCCTGTTTACGTCAATGGATATTTGGATAACATTGGGACCCACCTCCTTGTTATGATTTCTCTTTACTTTGTATTCAGGGTCCTACTAATTGTGTTCCTTTTTTTGTGTGTGGGCGCAGAGCTTGGACTGCTTGTCTTTTTGGAGATTGTGCACTCTTATGCAGCAGCAGACGAAATGGTTGGATTATCGCTTTTTGATGGAACAAATGACTGCTATTTCCATACTGGTAAAGTCTTATAATTGAAAATGTTAAGAAGTACTTGACGAACCTTGGTTTTTCTTTATTGGTTACTGTACAAATTTGACATCATTCTGGGGAGGAATATCTTATCTAATCCAAACTATGCATGTGTCTTTTGTGGTTTGAGGTTCTGTGATTTGCAAACCAATTTGGTTACTTAATTATAATACTAGTATTTATTTTGAAACTACTCCATGAAAGATTGCTGGCTAGGCCTACACCTGCTATATCAATATAAGAAGGATAGAGCTCTACAGAGGGAATCCATAACTAGCTCAAAATATTTGTTGCATAATTACTGTCCTCTTTGGTGGTATACGTAAGTGTGCATTGAAGAAGATTTCGTGGTCTTCAATAACAACATCTTAGATCCAATAAGGGTTGATTAAGTGAAACTTGGTATTTGTATAGGAGATTAAATTGGTCACCCAATTTAGAATCTGTTCTAGTCACAATCCTTTTGTATCTGAGATCCAAAGTGTAGTGCTCATACCCTCTTTTATTGCTATGAAGATCCTATCTCTGATCTGAAAATAGATATGCGGAAAAGCCTCTAATTCGATCCATCGTTGTTGCCCATAAGACCGTGAATAGCTGGTTGTGGTTAAATGGGAAAACAGTTGGTTGTGGCTTGTGTATATACACGTGTGCAGTGGCGGAGGTAGAATGTTCGCTAAGGGGGTTCAAAAATAAAAAAAGTTAAAAAAATTTGTAGCTAGTGGGAATTGAACCAATGACCTTACAAAGGTTTTGAACCCCCTAACCATTAAGCTATGCTTTTGGGCTGTATCAAGGGGTATCAAAACATAATACATAGAGGTAAAAATCAGATTTTACCTTATATATACAATGTAATTTTTCGGCGAATGGGGTTCGGGTGAACCCCCTTCCGCCCCCTAAATCTGCCCCTGCACGTGTGACCGCGTGCTAATTTTTCAACTGGCCATGTGCAATTCAGGCATATGCAGCATTGGCATGCTTAATCAAATGTGTAGTTACGTGACATGTGTTCGTCATGCACCATGCAAGAGCATGTATTGGCCATTCTCATTGTCGCTGATCTTCAATATTAGAATTTTGGTGCAGTTAGAGTACTGTTAGGTATTCATTTGCCTATTATGCTCAGTAGCTAAGGAACGGTGCACATATGTGTTTTTGTGTTCACCTTGTACTCTTTTGCGATTGACTATTAGTTTTTTGAAAACTTCTATTTTCTTGCTTTCGTTCACCTAAGCTTGTCATTCACACATGTACCGTGTGGCAATAGAACATAAACAATCTCTATACGTGTCTGGTTAACTGTATGAAAATTTCACTTCGAGTGATTTGATATCCTAAATTCCCGACATACGTAGGCTATGAGAACCTATTTACTCATGTCGTATATGTATTGGGGGTTATATATTGAGTCACTGTTGTCACGAATGGCCACCTTGGTACCTAGGCAACGCTTAATGCCTAGGTGTGTATAACTCGGCTACTTTTAGTTTCCTCCAAACTAGATTTATGTCTCCACTCTTCATAAGCAAAGCTGTGGGCACTCGCGCGCGCACACATGCATTAATGTGCATATGTGTTTGTGTGTGTCTATATATATCAATTTACCTTAAAAAGAAAGTAAACCATTAATATATGTAAAATAAAAAGTAGAAATGGATATTCCATAAAAAGTTGTAACCTTGTTCCTTTTCTATTTGTTTCCATCATTTACCTTTACCTTCTTTATATTTATGCAAAAAACAAGTACACTTTTATTGCATAAGGCCATAAAAAATTTGAACTTCATTCAAGCTTGGTCACGTCAGAACAGAACAAGAGGAGTGTTGGGGATTTTCAAATTCTAACTTGAACCAACAAAAATTGACATCACAACTGTGATGCCTCACTGTTTATTCCAAATTAGTTTGTCTAACAAATACACCCTCCATTTCAATTTATGTGAACCTGTTTTTTACTGGACATGAAATTTAAGAAAAAATGAAGACTTTTAGAATTTGTAGTTCTAAACAAGTCAAAAAGAGGTCTAGAGTATATGTGTGGTTATAAAAGCTTCTCATTAAGGGTAGAATTGGAAGTTTAAGCTAAATTATTTCCAAATTTAAGGTCATTCTTTTTGGAACGGACCAAAAAAGAAATAGATTCACATAAACTGGAACAGAGGGAATACTATTTTTGTTGTCTCCGTTATTTGAAAAGGTAACATTTGTATATAAATAATAAGACTACACAGAAGATGTGGAGTCATCCATAATTACAAGGTGAAGCGTAGGAGAAGCTCTCCTAATCCTTTTTCTTCTCATAAGGATTCTAATACATCAAAAATAGATTCATGGTTTTCTAAGTATTCTCCTTTACACCAAAAGTAAAAAAGAACTAAACAATTCATTTTCATCTTTTGGACATTACTGGATCTATCTTCAAAGCATCTTCGGTTTCTTTCTTCCCAAATTGTCCACAAATGCAAGCAGGGACAATCTTCCATCTCTCTCTATGACCGGGAAGGTTGCCTTCTATGTTCCAGCAAGCTAGAACTTCAATAATTCTTCTTGGCATAACCCACAAAAATCCCCTCAAGTTGATGAACATCCTCTGTAGGTTTGAAGTAACCCTATAGTGCAAAAAAAAGATGACTGATTGTCTCTGCCTCCTCTCCACATAAGTAGCATCTAGAACAAAGTTGGTATCCTCTCCTGACCAAGATCCTGGGTTAGAACTGCCTCCTTTGTCAACAACCATGTAAAGCAGGCCACTTTATAAGGAATTTTAACCTTCCAAATCAATTTTCATGGCCAACAACCAACCTGATTATTTGAAATATTGAATTCCTTATATGCTGCTATGACGGAGAACTTTCCTTTGCTATTCCATTGCCATGTAACACCATCTTCAGCATTGGAGGTCCGTTTGAATTGTTCCAAGATTTTGTAGAAATCTGATATCCGATCAATCTCCCAATCATACAGTAATCTCCTGAAGGTAAGACTCCAACCCTGGTTTGACCACACATCTCCTATTGTTGCTTCTTGCTGTTGATTAAGTAGATATATGTCTGGAAAAAGTTGTTTCAGTGAAGCCTGGCCTAGCCAATTATCCTCCCAGAAAGATACTTTCCTACCATTTCCAACTCTGAAGCTTGACTTGTTAATGAGCTTAGGCCACAAGTTTCTAATAGACTTCCACAAACTGACCCCGTAGGGGCTTCTCACATGCTTGGTTGTCCATTTTCCTTCCATACCATACTTTTGTTTGACTACCTCTTTCCATAGGGATTGTTCTTCTCAAGCAAATCTTCATAACCACTTCATCAATAAACTATGATTCTGAATCTTCAAATTCTTAATTCCCAGCCCCCCATCCTTCTTGTTACAAGTAAAGGAATTCCATTTGACCAAGTGAATTTTCTTCTTATCACTGTTCCATCCCATAAGAAATTTTTTCTCAAGGCATCTATTCTATTCACCACATTCACTGGGATTGGGAATAAAGACATCATATATGTAGGCATCGCATCAAGTACTGAGTTAATCAAAATTAATATTCCTCCCATAGAAAAGTATTGGCTCTTCCAGTTAGCTAGCTTCTTCTCACATTTCTCTAAGACCCCATTCCATATCCCTTTTGACTTGCTTTTAGCCCCCAAAGGCATCCCCAAATATACTTTAGGTAACGACCCAATTTTTCCTCCAAGGATTTCAGCCAAATTTTGAAGCTTTGTCACCTCATTAACCGGATAAATAAAGCTTTTATTTCAGTTAATATGCAAACCAAATATGGCCTCAAACAAAATAAAAATGATCCTTAGCATTAGCAAATGTTCTTTATCAGCATCACAGAATATAAGAGTGTCATCTGCATATTGCAAATGAGAAATCTCCAATTGACTATCTGCCTTGGAGTTTACCCTGAATCCTCTTATCCAATTGTTTGTTTGAGCCGTCTTCAACATATTATTCAAGCCTTCCATAGCAGTGATGAATAAAAAAGGAGATAGGGGGTCACCCTGCCTTTTGCGAAGGAAAGAAGCCAGCTGGTGTTCCATTAATTAGAATCGAGAATCTTACTGTGAACCTACCTACCACCAAAACCCAACTTCCTCATGGTGTCAAGCAGAAAGTTTCAATTCAAATGATCATAAGCCTTTTCAATGTCCAATTTGCATAAGATGCCACGCTTGTTGCTTAATATCCTTGCATCCATGCATTCGTTGACAATTAAAATGACATCCATTATTTACCTACCTTTAATGAAAGCCATCTGTTGAGCATCCACTAGCTTATTCACTACTTTCTTAAGTCTCTCTGTCAATAACTTGGAGATGATTTTATAGATGCTACCTATCAAGCTGATAGGCCTGAAGTCTTTCAGTTCCCTGGCTCCCCCCTCCTTTGGAATCAATGCCACAAAGGTGGCATTGAAACTCTTTTCAAAAATACCCTAATCATAGAAGTTTTGAATTGCAACTATTACTTCCTCGTTCACCACTTCTCAGCATTGAATGAAGAAGGCCATTGAGTATTCATTAGGTCCAGGGGCTTTATCCCCTCCACATGCCTTCACACTATCCCAAATTTCCTGAATACCAAAAGGACTTTGGAGCAATTGATTGTCTTCTGGAGTAAGAATAGGATAGTTCCTAAGATTACCTTGTGGTCTCCAAACCTCTTCTTCAGAATATAACTTTTGATAGAAGGTGACAATCTATTTCTTGATATCACCAGGATTCTGTATCCAACTTCCCCTGTACTACCAGCTGCTCAATATGATTATATCTCCTATGTGAATTGGCGGTTCGGTGGATTTTTTATTTTATTTTTGTCCCCTTGCTTCAGCCACAAGGCTCTGGATCTTTGCCTCCTGGCCACCTCCTCATGCTTTGCGATGTCCTCAAACTCCATAGCTAGGGCAGTTTTTGCATAAATTTCCTCTTCATTTAGAGGCCTCTGGTCATGAATCTCCTCCAATTGTGCAAGCTGGTTAAGGACATTTGTTTTCTGCAACTCCAGGTTTCCTTGTAAAGTTTTGCTTCATTCTTTAAGTTTTCCCTTCAAGGCTTTGAGCTTGAAGGCCAAAATAAAGTCAGGACTTCCTTCACAACTAAAGGAATTCCACCAATCTCTAACTCTATCTGTGAATCCATCTGTTTGCAGCCACCAATTTTCAAACTTAAAGTAAGATTTGACTGGATCCCAGTTGCCACATTGAAGCATCAGTGGTGAGTGGTCTGAGGTTACTCTATGAAGTATTGATTGTTTGATGTCTCTAAGTCCTTCATTCCAGTCAACATATACCAGAAATCTGTCCAGTCTAGCAGCTATATTATGATTGTCACTTTTTCTCCGTGTATAGTTGCCTCCTGCTAACTGCATATCTACTAGTTCCATATCTTCAATAAAATCAGTGAAATCCTTCATCCCTCTTGTAATTCTGTTGCAGTTTTTCTTTTCTGATGGAAATCTCACAGTATTAAAATCTCCACAAACCACCCATGGTCCATCAAATAAACCCCTTGCCCCTGCCAATTGCCACCACACTTCTTCCCTGTCTCTTCTGTCATTCGATGCATACACACTAGATAAGTGCCAAATAAATTCCTAAGATCTACCAGAAAACTTACATGTGATAGTATGAGACCCTAAGCTGCTAATTTCCCCATCCCATACTCTTTTGTCCCACAGAACAACTATACCCCCTCTAGTCCCACTAGCTTCTAATTGTGCAAAATTCCCCCACCTATTGGCCCATAACTCTTTTACAATCTCCCTGATATCTCTTTCTAACTTGGATTCTTGAAAGCAAAAAACATCTGCTTTCCAGTTGTTCATCATACTTCTTATCAGAACTCTCTTCCTTTGACGATTTAACCCTCTAACATTCCGTGATACAATATTTACCTTCATTGATCACTTATGACAATACATCCCCCTTTACTTCTAGTTCCATTACTCCTGAAATTACTCCCAATTTCCAGCCCCTTTAACTCTTTGAAACCCTTTCTTTTTGGGGTCTCCATCTCCTGTAGTTCTGATTTCCCTTTGTTCTCTTGTCTTTTGTTGTCGATTTTTGAAAAGAGCTCCAAAGCTTCTCTTTCACCGCCTTGAAAGTTGACACCAAATTCCTTGCTAAGTCTAATAATGTTCTGATGAACCCAGATAGTTGCATCAAATTCTGGATCTTTCTCTTCCTCTAAACTTTGAAGGTTTAGAGGTACTGCTTCTTCAATTGCCCATCCAACAACTTTCTCCATTTGTTTTGCTTGCATGTGTGTGTTGTAGGTTTCCAGTAGTTCATCTTGTGTACCTTTGTCTTCAAAAAGAGTCATAGCATTGAACTCTTCAATTGGATTCTGTTGGTCGTACTCCTTTCCTTCTTCATGTTCTTTTCTGTTGTTGTCTCCCTCTGAAGACTCTTCTATACCTGATTTGATCGTATCTATTTCTTGATTATTTGCCTTTATCTCTTCACTAAAAGGATCGGGCATGGGCACTAATTTGGGTTCAGGATTATGGACCCTAAAAGAGATCTCCTCCGATGCACATTGAGCCAAAATATCTGGGCCCAATGTCCTCTTAATAACCTGTTGTTCCCTATCCGGATTTGGAGTTAAAACTTGTGCCCCTTTCTCACGTGAGCTGTCACGTGTGGGTTTTAAATTCACATTACATGAAAATTTTGAGCATCCCACGTGCCCTGTCATGTCAGAAATACATTGAGCCCCTCCCCTGGTACTTTGAGTAGCCTCTTTTATCCGAAGGTCCAATTGCCTCCCTCCTCCGTCTTCTCCGATACTGGTACGTTCTGGAGCTTCACACCAAATCTGGATCTCCGATATTAAACCTTCAAACTCCACCTTCACTGCTTTAGGAACTGAACTGCCATCACCTTTAACTTTTATTCTCGCCCATTTTAGGTGGTTTTTCAGTTCTGTTTCTTCTTCAGTTTGAATCCACCCACCGCAAAAATCCCCAACGTTTTTGAAAACATTATGGGACCACAGTTGAAGAGGAAGCCCTACAAGTCTGACCCACACTTGATTTATCTTCTCTTCTCTTGGAACAGAGCACACCGTCGGAGACCTCCATTGAAGGTTAATTTTATGCTTTTTTCAACTCCAGTCTCCTTTCAGAACGTGGTCAGCCACTATTTAGAAGAAAATTCAAAAAGAAATCGATTGTAGCCCATCTCATAGATGTTGGTGCCGTGAGCCTGCTTCCAGTTGTTGCTAACCCGACGGCGAATTTCCGATAAGGCAGGGATATTTGTAATTTCTTCTGGCAAGCTACCCACCAAGCTCCTGCTTAGGAGATCATTCTGCATAGTGTTGGAATCTCCAGGAATACTTATGATATCACCTTTCGTCTGGATCGTAGCTTCATTCATCTCTTTGGAGGACCATTTATATCTTCTGGTAGTATCCGAGTACAAAAGACCTTTCTCTGTAATTTTGGGTGCATTTATAACTGTTTGTCTGACTTTGTAATTAATGAATCTTTCAATCTTCAAGGCAATGTCCAACCATCCAGTATTAAATGCTATCTCCGGGATAATAACTTCTCCCTTGAACACTAATTATAGTTATGTAGCGACCATACGTATTATAATTTCTTGCACAGAAAAACTCAGAAAACTGATCATGAAATTTCCATCTTTTCACGTGGTTCCCTTTAATTTTCGATGCTTCCTTCAAGGTCTCGCAAAGCCACGCCATTGTCTTCCTGCTGAACGTGGTTCTTCTGATAAGATTTCTGCCGCGCTCCGTCCATTCATACCATTCCTCAGCTCTGGACTCACTTCTGATGATTTCATATGACTTAAAACCCACTGCAAAATAAATGATATTAGCACCCATCTCTATTGGATAGTACTCTTAAACTTATATTGGTAAGGAACTTGTTAAAATCCGGCCACAACACCGGATTTCCCCCCTGCAAAAGAGGATGGAACGAAAAGAAAGACTAAGAAGTTTAGTCTTGGGAAATGTGCCTGGGAGCATTTTGATTCTAAGATTCAAAATTCCTTTTTACTTCAAACACATATCATCAATTGCTGGAGAAGTTTGTCTCCATTACGTTATGGAAGTTCTAATTAGTTGGAATTTCTCTTCACTAGCTTGATTAAAGGTCTACATATGATTATTTTTTAAATTCTTTTGATATATTTGAATTTCTTTTTGGATCCTGAGTTCCTTATTTACTGCATAACTAGGTAAACGCGGAAATCACAAATTCTGGGGCACACGGATGTTCAAATATGGAGATCTTGATGTTCTACACTTTCTTCTTTCAAATCTGAACTGGTGAGTATAGAGTTATCTGGTTTCTATCCTATGTATGCTCTTTCAGTTTCATAGCTAGCTTTAAGATTTGTTAGAAATTAAGGTTTTGCCACCTAATAAATGTATCATGAGGTGCAACAAATGCATCACCATCCACGATCCTGTATATAGGATATTTGTTCATATTGTAGTTTATTTTTATCAAGTGGGAAATACAAAAATAAGTTCTCAGTCAATTTTCACAATGGTTTCTTAGCATATTCATTCTTGGTAGAATCCTAAATTGCTTCTGCTTACCTGCAAACGGCCTCTTGCCGCTTGCCCAGACAAAATTTTATCGTTTTTGCTCAAAGTCAGATCGTAGCCAATTGTCCCTCTCTATCCCTTACCTATGGTTTGCGATACAAAGATCCTCCATCGTGTCACATGAAGCTAGAAAAGGTCCCACTCCTCTCAAAGAAACTGCTCCTGCTACTCGTATTCAGATAAAAAGAAAAAAGAAAAATCTGCTTTAATTAAGCAGAGATGATAGACTTGGCAGCTCGTGAAGCAAATCTGTAATCTGAGAATTCATTTTCCAGCCTTTGGGTAGGAATACATTAAAGAAAACAGCATATGAGGTTGAATTGTTCGAGGAGAATGAGGGGGAGGACAGTTTTTCGATAGTAGTGGAAATTGGTTAACTTTTGCCATAATTGGTAAAAGTGTAAGATGAGAACAGTTAGTTTTATGAAAGCTATTGCAGGAAACTTAAAGAATGGGAAAAATATGATGAAGAGTAGGTAAAAAAGGCACCTGGGTTTGGGATATCAAATGTTTAATTTGGGCCAGGATTAAAGAAATTGTGAGCGGGGCTCTCTTTTTTCAGTAGTAGTCGAAATTGGGTTAACTTTTGTTATAATTGGTAAGGCTAAGATGGGTGAAGTTAGTTTTCTAAAGCTTTTGCAGGAAATTTTTGTACAATGATGGGAACATATGGCACAAAGGAAAAAGAAGGACAAAAAAAAACAATAAAGTAGGTAAAATAAGCTTTTGGTCCTATCTGAATTTTTGGGGGAAGTTGTGCATTTATTATTGCTTTGCACATTTTCTAAGAGTATAGTACTAGTGAAGGAAAAAGGGGAAAAAAGAGCGAGGTTAAAAAGGTTCGGTTGAAGAATTGTATCATTACAATCAACATTTCAGTGATAAATCAGCATCCAAGTCAGCATTGTCATCCTCAATTAGACACACATCATCACTAATTTCATATGGAATTGCTAGTGTTCTAGTCAAGCTCATAGCATATATGACCTCTTTTTAGTCAAGTCTCATAGATCCACAACAATAGTACAACCATGGATTTCCAGTGAACTGATCAAGGTGGCAACATACATGTACTCTATATCAACTTGTCTCATGAGTCCACAGTTTGTCTCACGATTGTGCCCAATATGTTTTTGGCTCATGGGAGCACCAAATCAATCTCAGGGCAGCGCCACAGTGTCAATATTTCTTCCTTTTCTTTATCAAGTTTTTCTTAGGGTAGCACCGTGTTAGTTTTTCTTCTGGAGGTACGATCATAGTGGTACTTTTTTTGTTGTGATAGGTAACCAAGTGGTACTATTAAGGCAATTCAGTTTGGTTGAAGTTTGGCCATCTCATCTATTCCACCATTTCATTTTGTATGACACTATTTCCTTTTTAGTATATTCAGTAAAGAATGACACCTTTCTATGTTGTAATCTTTAACTTTAACTTCTCATTTTACTCTTAGTGACATGCTCTTATATACATAAAAATATCAAGCATGTTTAAGATCACAAGTTCTAAGGTTATTATGGTATGTGTCAAAGTTTGTCTTCCTTTCCAAGTTTCCTTAAACTCAATATTCAGTCAAACACTATCATATAAAATGAAATAGAGGGAGTAAAAGCTTAAGCTGCTAGAGAGAACACACTTTCAATTTATCACACTCCCCTCACGTGTGTCAAAACTTTTTTTTATGGCACTTATTTTTTTTAATAAATGAGTGGTGGTGAGACTTCAATCTAGAACCTCTGCATGTTTGATACTATGTTTAAGCAAATGGTCTTGGTTCTAATTCAACTATAAGCGTTAGCTCGTGACGTAAAGAGAATGCCTACAACAACAACATCATACCCAGTGTAATTTAACAAGTAGGGTTTGAGAAAGGTAGTGTGTATGCAGACCTTACCCGTACCGTGTGAAGGTAGACAGGCTGTTTTCGATAGACCCTCGGCTCAAGTAAAGAGAATGCATAAGGCCATATAAAGAGACTACAACTCATACTTTCAACAAATGTGGATCTGTAACACCCCCTCCTCCCCCTGTACTTTCAGCGTTGGACATATAGAGCATGGACACTGGACAGTATAACATGTGGTGGCTCAAGGTGGGGTAAAGCAAGAATAGGGATGAGTCTGTCTTTAAGAGCTTAACGGCTCAAGGTGGGGTAAAGCAAGAATAGGAATGAGTCTGTCTTTAAGACCATGTTAAGCTGATAGAGAGAGTATACTTTTAATTATTTATTTTTATTCTAACATGTTCAAGTGATATAATTCCTTGAGCATTATTCATCATGTACTATTCTGTCGACATTATTCGAATGGAAAAAGAAATAACGTTCAGTTTATAGCATTAGTTTATTACAAGCTCGTCTTGGTTTCTCACTTTGTATGGTGACGTTTTAGAAGTCAAGGTTTGTTGTATTTTGTACCTGATAAATGTACCCAAGGTACAATAAGTACAGACCACCATCCTTTTGTTTATTACGTTCATGCTGTATTTTGTAGCATTTTAGGTACATCTGGTAGTTCTCCTGTAATAAGTGAGTAGTACAAAATAAACCAACTTAACTCCTTCAAATTTCACAGGATTTTTTTTTTCTGAGTCAGTGCCTGTGCTTAAAATTCCAAACAAAATACTTTCACCTGGACATGATTGTGCAAGGTTTGAAACCACTTTCTTGATGAAAATAAATAAATAAATAAATAAATAAAGTGTCTGACAGTGCAATAAATGCACCGCCTTTATTTATTATGTCCAGACTATTTTCTTTTGTACCTATATATAGGTGTATCTTGTAGTTCTTTCGAATTATGTGAAGTATAAAATTCCCTCCCAGAAACAGCCTCTCTATCTTCACAAGGTAGGGGTAAGGTCTGCATACACATTACCCACCCCTGACCCCACATGTGGAATTGCACTGGGTTTGTTGTTGTTGTATAAAAATAAGTTCCCTCTATTTTCCTCTCTAACTCAGTTTTCACAAAACTCTCTTTTTTTTCCCTGGTCAGTGCAAAACCAAATGCTTTTTGACATGATTCGCAATAAATTATTTTCTTGGCGTTTTGCTTATACAGTGACATTTTTTCAGGTGGGTGGAGGAGTATCATGTTGATGGATTCCATTTTCATTCACTCTCATCCATGCTGTATACACACAATGGATTTGCTTCATTTACTGGTGACATGGATGAGTAAGAATCACAAGTTACATCTTTTCAGTCACTTACGTTGTCGACTTGCCAATGCAGGCATGTTGTCTCATGTTAATAGTTTTTGTGCGTTCACGAGTGATATATATATGAGTTCATATATTTACAATCTTTACAAGCATTTTCTCGTTCTATTTTGATAAGGAAGTGCTAGAGACTGTAATGTGGATTAAAGAAGAAAGCTATAGAAGGACCTCAAATCTAAAAATTATATGTGACTAGGATGTGCATTGGTGGATGGATTATGAGCATATTTCATTCTTGAGCAGTCTTTCTTTGACAATCATCAAGCTTTGTCATTGCAGGTACTGTAACCAGTATGTTGACAAGGAGGCCTTATTGTACCTCATATTAGCAAATGAAGTATTGCATGCTCTTCACCCAAATGTGATCACGATTGCCGAGGATGTAAGTGTTCCTTTTCAATTCTCTTGCAATTGTTCATTGCTTTACTCAGATGGTTTCTAGGAGGTAGAAATCCTTTGTTATTGAATTTTGTTGCGTGGAGTATACCTTTGATGTTTTAAGATATCTCCTGAAAAGAATTTATCTAGAAAAGAAGATATCTCTTGAAAAGAGAACTCTAAATTTTCTTACAAGTAAGAGAATTCATTGTTTACTTTTCTACTTGTGCAAGTTTCCTCCTTTGTCTTTATGGCTAGTTTGAGACCTGTACTGTCTTGTGACAAGTTCTCTTTCTGTTATGCAGGCAACACTGTATCCGGGACTTTGTGACCCAACTTCTCAAGGTGGACTGGGCTTTGATTATTTTGTGAATCTTTCTGCCTCGGAGATGTGGCTTGCATTACTTGAAAATACTCCTGATCATGAATGGTCCATGAGTAAGGTTGAACCTTGCATTATTGGTTGGCAAGATTTTTCTCCTTTCAAGCTTTGAATGCCATGGTAGTTAGTGGTATTTAATTTGGCTGTCTTAATTTAGATTGTTAGCACATTAGTGGGCGGCCGACAAAATGTTGATAAGATGCTTTTGTATGCTGAAAATCACAACCAGGTAGCTACTATCTGTCTCTTTTTATCATGTAGAATTTATGACTTATCTCTTATTTCCTTTTCTTTTATTTCATACTGTAAATTTCTGAATCTATAATCAACATTATCTTATTGGTTGTAATTCTCCATCTCTTCTAGTCCATTTCTGGAGGTCGCTCATTTGCAGAAATACTGATTGGAAACTCCTCGAAGAAATCTCCTATATCACAAGAGTCATTCCTTAGAGGATGCTCGTTGCACAAGGTAATTAACTGATTTGTGGTTATGGTCCATGTAGAAAGTCAATATCTGGTACTACCTAGAGGCTGCTTGTTAGACAAAGCTAATTACTTGACATTTCTTGTTTCTCCTCTAGTGATCAGATCTGGTATGATGATCAGCCACCCTGCACTTGTCTCTTAATTGTGTTGTTTTCGTTCTATTTTAGTAATCCAGCCAAAACGAATATCTTTAATGAACTTACATGCTTACCTCCTACTTGAGGTCAAAATTAATCTCTGTTTAATTCTCGACTTTTCTTTATTTTGTGGTCAATAATGATTGCACTCATGTAAAACTTAAATGTGCTTGGAAGAAACTAGTGTTTAAAATTTTCTTTGTCTGGTAAAAATAATCAGCTTAATGAATTTGATATTTTTGATTCTCCGGTTAGCAGAGTAGACCTTCGGATAAACTCCTTAATGAACAAGAGGATGGATTTATCTAAAGTATACACTATGCTATTTTCCCTCCTTTCAGCACAAGTTTAGATTACTTACCTGCTTATGGTTGTGTGATATTCCATGCATTTGAGCATGTCTAATTCTGAGTTGGATTTTCTTTTATTAAATAGATGATCAGATTAATTACATCTACAATTGGTGGTCATGCATACCTCAACTTCATGGGCAATGAATTTGGTCACCCAAAGGTGAGAATATTTAGTTCCTGCACCTGTGATTTATGCAGGTGCAGAAATGATACTGTAGATTTAGTAACAAATGTCATTTGTATCCTGCAACAGAGGGTTGAGTTTCCCATGCCAAACAACAATTTCTCATTTTCACTAGCTAACCGTCAGTGGGATCTGTTGGAAAATGACGTACATAATCAATTGTTCTCATTTGATAAGGTAACCGCTGAACTTTTAATTATGCAAAATGTGCTCTCTCTCTCTCTCTCCCTCTCTCTCTCTCTCTCTCTCTCTCTCCTTATACGACTGTCACTAAACATATATTGCAATTCAGGTGTACTTTTTGTTAGATATTCTGGTGTATTCTATTTGTTGCTTTTTCTCCCTTTTCCCCCTCAAGGAGTAAATTTGTTCCGCTTGGATACGTCATTGTTGGTTTTTACTAATTCTGACAGAAACTTTCCAATATTCTGTGTGGAAAAAATAGACCATAAGAGTAATGACTGTCACTAAATTTATCCGATCTAGAGTAACGGAAGGCAACTCTAGTAGTTGGGCTTTTTCAAATGACTGTCACTAAATTTATCTTCCCTTTGCGTGCAGTCTTTAAGAGATATTTTGTTGGATGCCACATATTGCTTTTCCCCTTGTTTTCCCTCAAGGTGTAATATAGTTCGGCTTCCACACGTTAGCAACCTTCCTGTGTAGAAAAGATATACGGGATGGGCAATGAAGGCAGCCCTCGTAATTGTGCAATATTAAATGAGGTTCTAGGGCTACTCCCATCTTTATTGTTGTCTGTTATACTTGAATGAGACTTGGCTCACTTGTGCTGTTTTGCATACCGTGATTACGAAGTGGAAAATAACACCTCTCCATAATCTTAGTTAGTTGGTTGATAAGATAACTTGGAACTTGAGGTTTATTCAACTATAGACATATGAAACGAATCTTCTTTTTTTGGCTCCACTGTGAATTACAATAGTTGTTCTGCAACCAGAGGAAAAAAGACAGAAGAGAATTCTCACTCCTTCCATTTTTCAGGATATGATGGACTTGGATGAAAATGGGAGAATTTTGTCGCGAGGTCTTGCCAATATTCACCATGTCAATGATACTACCATGGTACAAAGACTTTCTCTTTCATTTGATATCTTTCCATTATGAACTTTGTCTCTATCTGGTTTTTCTGGTGTGCCTGATTGATGAGATTTTTTTGATCGGTTATGCCTGATTGATGAGTATTAGAAGATGCTGCTGCTGTTACATGGCGCTTTATTGGGTGGGGGGTCCTGAATAGGGATGGAGTTTTCATATTTTAGCTCTATCTGTGGGCTGTGGCCCCCCAAGTGAAAAAAAAGGATCACAATAATTGCCTGTTGCTGGAATGAATGGGTTGTATGACGAACATTTGGTCGATGCCAGTAGTAACATTTGGTGTCATAGTAGTGATGGATCAGTTGGCACATTGGTGCATTTGCTTGAAATGAACTCTCAGGGTTGCAAACCCAATTTTTCATGCTTTGTAGCATCTTCTTTCGTAGTTTTTTCAACAAACCGGCAGAGTGTATGAGTTCCCAATTTCATTTATATTCTCTCTAAATCAACCCTTCTTGCTTACTGTTATCATTCGTCAGTATCTTTTTCGAAGATAAAGAGTAAAATTGTCTTTGGAACAGGTGATTTCTTACTTGAGAGGCCCCAATCTCTTTGTGTTCAACTTTCATCCTGTCAATGCATATGAAAGATACACTATAGGTGTGGAAGAAGCTGGAGAATATCAAGTAAGTGTCATTTATCCTTTTTTTTTTAAATTAAATATTTTCTGCCTCAATCAATATTTTGAAGTTTTTTTCCAGCATTTGCTGTTCCTTGTGGGTAAGTTTATGAGAGCTTATTTCAGTCGGGCATAAAGGTATCTCATAAGTATTTACTGTCATATGGTCACCCAGCCATTTATATATAAGTAATGAGATAAATGTTTGTGAATCTTTCAGTTTGTTCTTCCAGAGATGAGAAGTATCTAAGCCGACCTTCGTGGTAAATTAAAATAAGCACTAGCTTGTATGAGATATACTTTTTCTCCTATCTTCATCTCTCTCAATCCCCCATCAACTTAGAGCGGGTTTGCAAGTTGAAAGGATTTATGTAGCTGTTTGTTCTGTCCCTACTTCTAGCCCAGCCTCCATAGTAAATCAGAATAAGCACTAGCTTCAGTGACGATATGAGCATTTTTTCAAGTTTCATCTCTCTCACTTCCACATGAAGATAAATACAAATATGAAAAAAGGATTCTGCAAGTTGAACAGATCTGTGCTGTTTCTCTATCCAGAACAAATCTGTGTAGCTGTTTCTCTATCCCCATTGATTAAAGTAACTTAAGAACCAAATTGAATTTATATATGTATTATGATGTAAGATACAACCACCACCCAGTATTATGATGTAAGATAGTAGAGAGAAAAAAATGAGAAATGCATGAAGACAATTGTCTTACGCCTATGATTTTTATAGGTACTTTTTACAATATTATTCCCGATGTGGCAGACTGTATTTTTACACATGTGACTAGTTCTATTTCAATTTTTCCCAGGCTCGTGAATATCTGTATCTAGTAGTATTTAGAATGTTTACTGGTGTAGTTAGAGTAGAGAATACCTGCTTACCATGTATATATTAAGTAGTTATTCTCTGCCTTTATCTCATGTTCCTTGACCTGATATAAAGGCTATGGCCCTAGCAAAATGTGAACTGCCACTATGCTCTAATACTATCTCAAAACTGATAATCCAGCTATGCTCGAACAAATAAGCTCAAACTCAAGCAGTGAACCAGCTGTGCTTGGTATCACCTCGGCATTACTTTGCTCTTTCCTTGCTCTGATATTAACTGTCATGGGCTAATTCCCCCATAGCGACCATACCGACAGTGGTACACAAATAACTTGTCTAACTCTCAGTCGTACTGAACAATAAGCTAGCCTACTCTTATCCCAGTTCACTTGGCACGACTTTGTGCGCATGGCAAAGATCGTCTCATCTCAGTATTTCTCTAATGGAACGGAGGCTCAGCTTCAGTTGTGCCGCCCGTTTCATGCCAAGACTTTAACCTTAAGTAGTGGGAAAAACCTTTCTCTATTTACAAGGAACAAATTGTTGTCATATTTACATTTCCTTAACGTTAACATTCTTAACAGTGACTCTTAAAACAGTTCTAATTCTTTCATACTTAGGAATAAGAAAAGCCAAAAAGGAAGTGGTGGGCTCTCACGAACACCTTCCTCCAATTAAACAACTCACTTTAATCTTTCCATCAGTTACAGATTTGAAATTTCAGAGAATAGTATATCTACTGAGGAACACAGTTGACATCTTCATTGGCGTAGATGATCTATGAATTTTGTAACTTCTCTGACTATAATGTGTTAGTATTTCTTACCCTATTGTTCCTTAAATTGTTTTAGGTCACATTAAATACAGATGAAAAGAAGTATGGCGGTAGAGGACTGATTGAACATGATCATATTGTTCAAAGAACCGTTAGTAGAAGGTAACTAGTCGCTTGATTTACGTTTTACAGCTACTGGGAAGATGAAGTTTCCATGTTTCTACATGACTAATATCTAGTAGCTTGCATTCTCTACTTCTATTGGGAAGAAATTCTGAAGTTTTTACATGATATCCATATCAGCTTTTATATTAGGCATGTCTTTATTTTTTCCATTTCAGAGCTGATGGAATGAGATTTTGCTTGGAAGTGCCTCTACCAAGTAGAAGTGCTCAGGTTTGAATTTTTTTTCCTATTTAAGCTTCTGATGGTGTAGGATTCTATAAACTTGAAACATTTTTATGAAGTATCTCAATGTTATCAAAAGGTATCGCAAGAGATATTATTCTTGTAAAAGGGAGTTTTCTTTTTGTAAAGCGCTTGTCAATAGCACATATTTGCTAAAACAGGCTCTTTACCGATGGGCATGATGTACGAATGTTTTTTTTTACTTGCTTTAACTCCTGCAGGTCTACAAGTTGACTCGAATTCTTAGAGTATGATTGCTCTAGTTGTCATATTGCTTCATACTATGACGTGAACGAAAGGTAGGTTATGATATGTGTCAATTTGACTCAGATGCTAGGCGTACATTAGCTTGTATAGTTTATTCAGTTTTTTTCTCCTCTAACAGAATGAGCTTTGCCCATTATACTTATCAGTCAGCGCCTCTTCCAAGATGGGATTCTTGAGAACAAGCTGTTGGCAAGTCAGTTATCATGAACTTTTTGCCTTCGATATCTGGATGTGCAAATGGGGCATGGAAGAAAATGTTGGCTCTGCCATAGGGGCCAAAAGCATCTACTGACAATCGCAAACCAGATTAAGATTTCATAGGTCTTGAGCGATACCATCTGTCAGTTTAGGGTATATGAGGGCAACAAAGTGAAGTTTTGAATGAGAAAGGTTCACTTTTAAGGAAGTAGCCAATAGAAGATTTGTCGAAAGATCTTCTTTGGAGTTAACAATGTATATAAGAGCATTCAAATCGACGAGAAACTTCAATTTTACATCGGATATTTAGTTATCCCTTTAAACATTGTGTCTGTTAAGTAATTGATTCAAGATCTCCGGAAGGTGTTTGTAAATCGTGTGTTTCTTGTTAATGTATATTTACAAAGTGTATGTGATAGAGGATGAAGGGACAGAAAAGAAAAAGAGAATCGTGAAGACCACCTCTGGTGGTTTTCTATGGAGTTTTTGGAGAATTTTTGAAATACAAAAAGGTGTATGTGAAATATCAAAGTGAAGATGAACTAGGAACTGGTAGTGTTCTCTCCCATCGATTTGCTATGCGTATGTCTAAATTGGCAAATCTTGATTTGTAAATGATCAGAGTAGGGTTGAACCAAATGTATCAACTATGTTTCAATGCCAAATCAAGTAGAAATCGACCACATGAAAAATTTATATTCATTCTGCTCTAATTTATTTTAATTCTAAAAAGTTGTCCTTTAAGATCGATAAGGGTTTTTAAATCTTACTCTATATCTGCACGGAAAACAAGTTTAATTTCAACGATTTTATATTGCCTATATTGATCATTTGTTTCAATTATGTTATATTCTTAAGTTTGCATTGATTGCGAGAGGTTTCAGGTTTTTTTCGGACAACTTTCCTTCAATATATTAGATCTACTTCATCTTTTAGCACATTCAATATTTATCATATTGTCACGCTTATGGACCGATGCATCTGAGTTTACATAGTATATGAACAGATTATTTTCCTATGTGTGGCCTATTGTATTTCTATCATTTCCAATCTTATATAATGGCCCATTCATCATAATATCTATATTTTTATGACGTTCATTTTGTGAATCTGTTCTGCCTCTAATGGTCACTCTTACAATAGCATTGATATTTTTATAACGAAGCTATACAACTAACCTTTCGCCTTATATATTTGATGGATTTCTACCTCATAACATTCCAACTCCTTATTTTTAAAATTTTTATCCTATTTTAATTCTCTGTGTTACATATTTATCTATTATACTATTACCTAAAAGAATGAGCTAAAATGTCTGCATTTAGGCGCCATAATTCAATCCAATCTCACTCCGCTTTCATTATTCTTATGGGAGTTGAACTTGTAGTCAATATATTCTATCTTGACTTTATGATCCTATAGTTCTTATTTTCTAAAGTGATGCTCTATATTTCTAATTTTTGGTTGGTTCCTTTGCTATTTAAATTTAAAATAATGCTCGGATTTAGTCAATAAACAAGTAAGATCAAAGTTGAACGAGGAGAGTAAAAGCTTAAAATCAATCTAGGTTGCAAAATTAGATAGGTCTTGATTTTGCACTTGCTAAAAAGATAATTTACAACAATGAGTCTGTAACAAACCTAATTATGTAATATAAAAATTAAGCAGATAACTTGTTATAATAATAGTTAAAATACAACAATGATTATATAGTTGGTGTATATAAGTTAAATCATGTTCTGAAATAAGGAAACAAATGGCTTATGGCTTTTAGCATCGGAAAGAGTCATATAAACATCAGATATAAAGGGGCAAACAAGACAACGGAGATAAGGATATAATCAAGCTGACTAAGCAATAATAAGCAATAAATGGAATTTGAATTCAAATTTTAAAAAAGAAGAAGAAGAAGAAGACAATATCGTCTCTGTTTCTGCATAGCCACCACACCTAAAAAATCATAACAGAAAGGGCTTAAACATTGAGAAGGATTTAACTTGTACACACAAACAACGTTAATGTTACTAATTAATTCTTTGTTTTATGGACGATTGCTTATAATTATCTTTAGTTAACCTGCTAGTATTAAAGTACTCTTTCACTGTCAGGGTGTGTTTGGTACGAAGGAAAATGTTTTTCATCGAAAATATTTTCATGGAAAATGAGTGGTTTTATCACTTATTTTTCCTTGTTTGGTTGGTGGGTGGAAATTATTTTCTAACGTTTGGTTACAGAGTAGAAAATATTTTTTTATGCTACTCTCCTCACCCCTCCTCTCCCAAGTCTCTAAAATTTATACAAACCCAAAAGAACTAATGTGTTGCTTTATTTTTTTACGTAAAAATAACATTTAAATTTGTGCTTCATAACTAAAAAGAAATACTCTTTTTTTGGTTGAAAAAGAAAGTACTCTTTCTACCACATGAAAATAAAGTACTCATTTTATTGAAATAAAAGAAAATACTTTTTCTACATCATGAAAAGAAAATACTCATTTTGTTGAAATGAAAAAAAAAATATTTTTAGTTGAGAAGGAGTTTTGGAAGGTTGAGGTGGGGGTGGGTTGGTGGAGATGGAGAATAGAGTAGGGAAGGTTGAGAAGGAGTTTTGGAAAATATTTTCCCTTCTCTTGTCTTGATAGGGAAAATATTTTCCTCCAATTGGAGGAAAATGAGTTCATAAAAAAAATATTTTCCAAAATATTTAGGCCAACCAAACATAGAAAAATTGAAAAACATTTTCCGGGAAATATTTTCCTCCCTACCAAACGCACCCTCAATGTCAAAATATACTGAGAAGGAAACAAATTGTGATGAGATGCTCTAAGAGCAATATATTCCAAGAACATTCCAATTAGCAAACTGCCATAAGGTGCATTAGACCAAAGGACTACCTTCCAATATGACACGTACAAATCCCTAACAAAGAATGACGATCTCATGTCGCTATCATCTTATGGTAAAGCAGTTTATTAGCAAATAAAATTTCTAAAGATAGATTTTTTTTCTTAAAGAAACTCCAACAGGATCTTGAGAAGATTTGCAGAATAAAACACAAACACAAGTTGCTCCTAAAGTTTGAGCAAGTTGTTGGGAATTCATAGGATCTGAATGGAATTTAGAACGAATAACAGCATAATAATAAAGATAAGATGTCAAAAAATTAAGACTATGAGGTCACCTCTATCTATCATCGTCCGGAAAAATTAGGACGAATAACATGAAAAATAAGACACGTTACATATTTTTCTACAAGTAAAATAAACTTACAATGTAAAATTCTCTATATTATCGGTACATATGAGTTGAATCGTACTTTAATTTACTATAGGTTGCCTTTGAATCAATTTTCTGAAACAAAATTGTAGACCTTTGTTAGAAATATTTTATATAAAAGAATCTTTAAGAATGTGGATCATAGCCTCGATTGAGATGTCTTATTCTCTGATTTTTTTTTTTTTTTTTTTTTTTTTTTTTTTGGGTTTTCTTAGTACCGATAAAATTACAAAAAGTACATTTTTAGAATAAAGTTGCGTATATGTTCCTTTTCCGCTAGTAGAATATCAAAGAAGTAATAAAAAGTAGAGAGAATAAGTTAACCTTTCAAAAATGTCGATACAATTTTGAGGAAAAACAAAATATAGAAAGTTAAAGACTAATCTAGGATAAAAGAGTAGAGATTTTGATATCTGTAAATATCAGGTTAACATTGGACTACTAGTTTTAGTTTTTCATTAGTTAATGTTCTTCTGTTTGGTAATTAAATACTTTTATTAATCACCAATGAAGCATTACAAAACCACAGTATAACTAGACACAGCTAACTGTTAAATCTATCACCACAGAAACCAAATCATTATAGCAAGTTAGCAACTACCTTTATGTATTAAGGGCACACTTCTAGGAAGGTTTCCTCAATACCTATTGGGGTCGTTTGGTTGCCGATTAGAGAGGAGTTTGTTTACCCATAAAATAATACAGTTGAATTTGTAGCATGATTTATAAATATGTGAATTAGTTTAATTCAAGAATATAAAATAATCAAGATAGAAATAAGTTAATGAAAATAAATTAAAAGAAAATACAAGTCTGACTGTGGACTGACTTTCTCCGAAAAGCAATAGCAAGAACAACATGAAGAACAAAGTAAAGAATATTGATTTATGGAATAAAAGCTTGTTTTACCTTTTTTGTATACAGAATGTTTCGTGTCTACAATGAATATAATTTCTCCTATTTATAGCTCTATTCAGGGAGACAAGATCCTCAAATCAACCTATTCTTTAATACGAAATAAACCCCTCTTGATGGCTGAATAACAATTGGGTATTAATGAAAATATTCCTTGTAATGACTGATCATTGAATGCTGAAATTTTCCAACCAATATCTTCACTTCAAATCTTCGTCCTCGGTTTTACTGTCTTCGGAACTTACCTAGCACCGGTCACATATTTGTAACGATCGGTGCCAGCTATTTGCTGACTCGTATCTTACTTGTCTTTACTTCCACATGTCAACTCGTCAAGCATCCACTTGTCGTTTATCAATTTTATCCCATACATCGATGAAGAGGAAGATTTTAGAGGAAGCTAAAGAAGGTACTGCAAATATGGATGGTTGCATCGCTGAAGCTCTCGAATTGGAGGTGACTGCCTTCAACATCATTCCTCCTTGGCCCATTGCTTCAAACTCTTCGAGCACAAGTTCAGAGTACTCGGGAACCGAAAAGGAGGCTGAAAAAGAAGATAAAGATGAAGGTATTGAATCGGATATGGAGCAAGCTTCATCTGTAAAAGATGCAGAAGAGACCTCTCTTCCTTCGGACTCTGCCGGCAAAACCAATTGATGTAATATATATCTTTCTTGTAATTATGCCAAAACTTTTATTGAGCTTGGAATTTTAAGAAACAAAAAACATTTTTTTACCTAATTTCCGTGCAAAATATTTTTTTAATATTATTATTTGATAAAGTTCGGGAATTTCTAACATCCAATGACTTTTAATATCGCGCATTTATACTTTTGGTGTCTACCCTTTAACTATGAGGGTTTCATAAGAGAGGACCTTTATGTTTACGGTACTTTTAAAGAGGATGTCTCCTGTTCATTCTGGCACAAGCATGTTAAGTTAAATCATTTTTCATTTGAAAATTAGTTAAACTTCAAATGCTTGTACCGGATTAAATATGAGACGTCCTCTTCAAGAATACCGTAAACATAAGGGCCCTCTCTTATGAAACTCATAGTCAAAGGGTAGACACAGGAAGTATGAACGCCCAGTATTAAAAGTCATCCGATGTTATTATTTGATAAAGTTCGTGAATTTCTAACATTCGATGACATTTAATACCGGGCATTCATACTTCCGGTGTCTACCCTTTGACTATGTGGGTTTCATAAGAGAGGACCTTATGTTTATGGTGCTCTTAAAGAGGACCTCTCCTGTATATTCCGGCACAGATATTTGAAGTTTAACTAACTTTTAAATAAAAAAGAACTTAACTTATCATTCGGATAAGAAATAAGATAAAAACAAAATGACTTTAATTTATTCCTTCCATTTCTAAAAGTACAATTACATAAACATTTACTTGCTTAAGTAAATAAAGCTACCAATATATGTGGCTAACTTGTACAACTTATTTTTACGGGGTTGATCATGCAGTCCTCGATCCTAATAGGATATAGCTCCTGGTTCTAG